GAGAGAGAGAGAGAGAGAGAGAGAGAGAGAGAGAGAGAAAGGGCGCGGTAGTGGTAAGAACCAACGGGATGGGAAAGGGGGGGGGACCGAAGGGACTGACTGTCGTGTCGGGTATACATATAGGTGGGGCGGCTTAAAAAACTATTCCCATTCAGTGTTTCCGTTGGCGGCTAAGCCCGGTTATTAGACCGTCGCGGCTAAGCAGCGCGCTTCTCTCATTGGCCGGCTACGAAAACAACGATAAAAGGCGATGAGTATTTTATGGGGTACAGCGCGATGGCACAATGGGACGCCGTGTATGGGCCATTGTCAGGGCATTGTCTGGTTGCGAACGCAAGGCGAGCTCTCTCTTTCTTTCTCTCTCTTTCTTTCTCATTGGCTTTCTTTTTCTCTCTTTTCCTCCCTTTCTTTCTCGCCCTTTCTCTTTCTTTCCACTTCGGCCTAGAGCCTCCATTATTTCATTATTTTCAAACACGTCACTTTTTTATCGAGACCGTTCTCTCTTTCTCTCTTTTTCTCTCTCTTGCTCTCTCTCTCTCTCTCTCCCCCTTTCTGGGCGTGGCGAGGCGATGTTGCAAAAAAACATGTTCAAAATCGCACAGTCGAGACTGGCCCTCTTAGGCGCATTATTAATGTGGGTAGAATTCGCCCTAGTGGAGGGTGAAATCTCATCGGGGGCAAGGCTGGAGAGTCGACCAAATTTTCTTTCATGTTCGTACTTTGTGTCCTCGAGATGGTACGCGTCAGGGAACATAGTTAACTTTTGTGTTATCAGTGAATTTTTTGCTGGGGGATGCGCGAAGGTATCGTTGTGCGACAGTGAGGAATTGTTATAATTTAACCGAGAGATTTTATTAAATTACGCGTATATATACATAAATGGAGAGAAGAAGAAAAAGAGAGGAGATTTATAAAATTATTAAATTAATGTTAACATATTAATAATTATGATATAAAGTTTTATTTTATTTTTAATTTTTAAGTTTTCTTTCTATATTTTTTTTGTGTCAAACAATATCATTCAATTTTTTGGCGAAAATAATAAAATTTTTTAACGTTAAGTAACGAAATTAACATTTTTTCCTAAATAATGTTTGCTTGAAACTAAATACAAAATAAATTTTGCTATTCAGTGACTGAGAATTAATTCAAATTTTTATTTTTAAATAAAAATGTTCATTTCTTTGATAGCAAACAAAATTCTTTTTAATTTTAGCATTTAGTAATAATGTAAACGAAATAAGTTATATAACATCTATAGCGGTTACGTTAATGAAATAAAAGTTATTTTAAAAAACAATTCCAGTAGTAACGATTCCATATAATACTATAGATATACTATACATATACATATATATTTCTAAAAGCAGATATATAAATATTAATAGGAATCTTATAATCATATACTAACAACGTATAGCAGAATTTCCCTCTTGATTCCATTATTTTCGTTAAAAAAATATGAATTGTCAGCAAAATTTCGTGTAAAGAAACGTAACGCACATAAGCAAATGCTACGTCCACACGGTTGCATTGCGTTTTACGACGTATAAGAGAGATATCCGAGGCAGTCGGTCGCACGAATGTCTGGCTATTTACTCCGGCCGGAGGTGTTGAAGCGTGCGCCGACAAGAGATCGGGCTCAGCCTGGAGCAGTTAAGGAGGGTTTTAGTCTCGGGGGTGTCGGCCCGAATTATGCAACACGAAGGAATACGGCGACTTAGGTATTCGCTCGCACGTAAATCCGCCACCCCCGGGCACATTTCACCGTGAAACACAGCCGGGGCGCGTTCCATATTTAATCGCTCGGCGGTTAATTTACGTCTCCGTATCTGGAAGCATCGAAATTTTCGCGGAAAACCGAGCCTAGCGTCAATATGAATATTTTTACGGAGTATCATCGATGAAGTCACGTCGTACATAATTTATTGAATTATTTCGCTAATCGATAAAATAACGCTAATTGCGCACATCTTTTGGCTACAGTTAGAAACAAATTAGAATATTGCAGAACTTGTGACGATACCATACGGAAAAATGAATGAAGCCGAAGGGAGATAATAGTAACTTTTCGAGTTTGTTCTAATATTGAAGCATGGAACATTCTGTCTGTGCAGATAATTTTCAAGGGCTTCCGCCAGAAGCGATACCCGCCTTCCTGCAAAATCTGCAAAATTCGGCGGGCTACAATATCGCCAAGCCGATCGCGAGGCCGGCGGCTTATCACCCTTATCACAGGCCGAGTCATCAACCACCACAACGACACTTACCACCGAACGCTCATCACACGCTGCAACAACTGTTCTACAGGGGTCCATATTTGACAGGTAAGAAACTTGCATAATTACGCGAACAACACACAGTGACGTGGACAGTATAAAGTAGCACAAGTTCAGGTTACCCCTTTCGCGTTTTGGAACGACTAAGATATTTTTTAATCGGTACCCCCCCCCCCTCCCCTCACGTAGCTCGATATATATGTATGTATATAGATAAATATCATGTATATTGTGTATTGATATTCGCAAGTTTCGCGTATTCATTATTTTGTATATCCGCGATACTCCACGTGCAGTTAATAAACAAGCGCGGTCGGACGAGAGGCGCGGAAACACGGGCCCGAACGAAACGTTTAAAACCGAAACTTCCGCATATGGCGCCAGGCTGCGAGCGCGCGCGCGGCCACGTGCGCGGGGGGCCGCGCACACACGCCGGGGTTTATCGAATATCTTGTTATAGGTAGGCTCGTATGGGACATGGAGTGCATATGAAGTGCAGTGAAAGCACTACCATATTATGTACATGCTCCGCCACAAGGCAAAATGCACGCATGCAACAAGTGCGTGCAAATATCATCGGTGCAGATAATACCATCATGCTCAGCTTGGCAATATCGCGCAGACACGATCTGGAGATTCAATTGCCCGATCTGTTATTAGATGACTTTGATACAATTCGGTATCGAGCGAATCAAGCGCGCCCGCTCCTCCGCGCGCGAGTAATGCGATGTTTGAACGATTTTTTTTTCTTTTCGCGTAACGTTTCACGCACTCTCCTCGCACATTTTCTTACTCGATATTCTTTACGTCTTTTCGTGAAAACGGATTTCCAAACTTCCCGATAAGCTAAAAACTCTTATTGTTAGAAGCAGCAAGGTATATAGAAAAGAGAAACTTGATCTTTGTTTTGAAAAATATTTAAGTGTCTTCTCTGAAATTTGTAAATGTCGGATAGGTTTCTCCGTCCACACGATAACATTGTGTATTTTTCTTTGATTTTCTTTCGATTATATGATTTAATAAAAACAATTTTTTTAATTCAAGCGTTACGATAATCCGTAATTTTCTATGCTGAATACAAATCATCGATCTTCAGGACGTTCTATTACTTCGAAATTTTAAAAAATTTAAGATTAAAATTGCGAGACACGGTTATTTTAATGTATTTTGCCATGCTACAGCTACAGCATATGATGTGTTGGAAAAGTTTTATTCCACTTAAAATGAAGCATACGATTAAAACTTTTAATCTTCAAAAGAAATTTGTTATGAAAATTCAAGTTAATGAGATTTTTGTGGTTAAGAGGATATAAGATATATAAATTATTGAGTCAAGAAGTTGACAAAATTAGTCGCTGAAAACCACGCTAACAATCTATTAAACATTTGCAAAATTTTTATTTAAAAACTTAGGTGTTTTTTAATAATTAAAACACGAATCAAATCTCAATGAAAATTCAAAATGATAAAGTCAAGATGTCGGAAAGAAAAATACGGATTTTTACAAAAGTTCGTGGAACCACAATGATTTCTCAGGATGCTGAGGATAATTCCGATATTAAAATTGTTGAATATCATATGACATATAGGTACATACAACAATATTCTATAGTTTTATGATATTTAATTGTTTAATTTAAAATTTCCCTGTGGTATAATAGATTCAATATTTGATTATCAAAATGTTGCCACAACTTTAAAATCTATCTAGTATTTTCATGTTTATATCACAGCACGTTAAAATAGCTTTTATTTGCAACTTTTAATTCAAATTTTTCGAAGTTGTAATGTAATGGAACATTTCTAAAGATTACGAGATCCTATCAAACATAAAAGTGCTACAACGAATGATTTTTTTGTCTTTGAACTTTTCTTTATTGAGCCATATAGTATACCATATTGTACATGTGTTTTTCGTTATGTACCTCTAAATTTTCTTTATCGATGTTGACGCCACTTTTTCTTTCTCGAGCGAACTGATCATAAAGTACAAGTAACATCGAAGTGCTACAATAAATGCTATAATAAATTTAGCAAAATGTGTACATCAAACGCGTTATGTTCTTCTTGTTAACAGTCGCTGGTTCCGGGACCGGAACCCATCACCCCGGTACGCCCGGTGGAGGCGCCGTGTTTCCGGGGACCATTCAGGGCAGCATCGGCGATTTTTCCGGGACCGGTCTGGTCTTTCCATGGGCGACGAACGCGCGCGGAAAGCCACGCCGGGGGATGATGAGGAGAGCCGTTTTCTCGGATCTCCAGCGACGCGGACTCGAGAAGAGGTTCCAGATACAAAAGTACATCAGCAAGCCGGATCGCAAGAAGCTCGCTGAGAAACTGGGTCTCAAGGATTCGCAGGTATGCATAATCGTGATCCAAGGAAAGTCTTTATTTTTTTTTTTTGGTTGGAATACTCGAGAGGCGGAACATTTTCAATATTCGTCGAGTATAATTCGGACGTTCGAGTACTCGAGAATAATAATTGAAATGTATTGTTACACCATTGTCCGACTTGCACCGTTATCCCGTATTATATATATTTGCAGTATTCCAGTACCGGCAATTTTTAATCGGCAAAACCGATTTAATCACGTAGATTTAATTCGCAACATTTTTACATACGCAAATTTCGACGGATTTACAATTGCGGCGAGACGCAATTATTTACCTTACTTCTCGCGCCGACGCGGTTTTCCGTGCGCGCGCAAATCAATGGCATATCAATTATAGCGCGCATCGAAGCGCATAATTCGATTCCTTGTGATCCAGAATCCTCGCTCTCGATAATCGCATCAGGCATGTCATATGCAGGCAGATTTGCATACGCGATGATAGGCGGATGTGCTCGCGTTGTATTACAATCGAGAGGCTGCGCCGTGAGCATTAGAGACGGCACACGGTGTTTAATCCCGTGCTTAATGATCTCCTCGGCGCAATAGTAGTTCAAGCTAATCCGCGCAAACGTGCTAATCCAAACCGTAATTAAACCAGGAAATTCGCTAACGCAGATCTAACAAAAAAAAAAGAAAGGATTTTATCATTAATAGACTGCCGCGCAACTCCGTTTATTAGCTTTTCCTCTTGCGATCAGTTCTAAATTTAATTATATCATTTCTAGTGACCTTCGAAGAATTATTTTGACGTAGGAACAGCGATTGTTCATTTCTCGATAGAATCGATAGACGCAATCGCATTTATTCTAATTTGCGTCGCTTGCGTCATTGTAGTTTTCACGAGCCCTTCACGTCTTTCGTGTGAGTCGAGTTTCAAATCCGATTATACAGATTTCGCGCGACTTCCGGGTAATTAGGTCGACGAGGTCGAGTCTCTTGAAAGGAATATAGTGATTCTCGGGATGACTCCCGGCGCGAGAGATAATCACACCGGGTTCCCGATAACGGGCCGGCATAATCGGGCAGTTAGGCGCGTGCAAGACGCGGGAAGGTGGTACGCGGCGAATATATATATTGTGCTTAATGAGGGCACTAATTGTCGCTCTAACGAAGTACGAGCCCCGCCGTCGTACTCTCTCTTTCTCTTTCTCTCTCTCGCGATTCCATTCGGGACAGGCTGATAGAGACTAATGCTCGGTTTTGTCGAATGCAAAATCGCCTACCGCGCGAGTACCGCGCGCGCGAGGCGACGTGTAAAACGTGTGCGATGTGCCGGATCTCGCCTAATTGCACGACCACCGATTTCAAGAACGATCGGGCAGTCGTAGCCCATTAAGTCTCAGTATAATAATAATTATGTACCTCGCCGCTTCGCGTAATTAACTCTGCTTAATTAGCTTCGCGATTAATTATTCTAATCGTGAAAGAGCTGTCACAGGAGAGACAAATGTGATGTCACTTCCGTCTTCCGCTGCTAACTAAGTGTGTCTGACTTACTTATAAGATGTTTAACTAATATTTAAAGCATATAAATTAATATTAAATGAAAGCATTAATTATATTCGGCATTGTGGAGGCATTAAGTATCTGTTGCTGTTAGAGAATGACAATTATAATTGTATCAGATAGAAAATGAAATTTCTCGGACATTCTATTCTATTTCTCAGCTATTATATTTCACATCAAAACATATATGCTATTTAATTCTATGTAAGTTCGGGAGGATATTTCTATGTCTCTGTTGTCTGGAATATTATTTTTCGGGGCAGCCTGCCCGGAAACGTCAATAAACACTTTACGTTCGCTCATTCGTTTATTCAAATACGGACGATTTGGGAACGACGCGCGGAATCGGAATAAAAACCTCGATGGCCGCGTTTGGCTGCCGCCGTGGCATCGCGGACATTCGCGCGCCCGCCTGAAAACGACCGAGCCGCGCTCATGAAATCGAATGAAACTAACTCAGCGGCGCGCCATTTCCGGATATCGTTTAGTTCCATTAGCGTCACGCCGAGCGGTCTCACATGTAGCGGCGGCGTGCTACGCTATACGTTGCATATATACATACCTACGTGCGCGACTAATGAACTGGCATCGCCCGATTAACCCCGTATACCGTGGGGGATATTATGTGCCTGACTCCCTTCCTCTGTTGCACACAGCCACGCTCGCTCTTTCTTCGTGTACGTCAACGCGATACGTCGATACCGCCCGTGATCTGCCCGCGATATGCACATATATGTAAAACGCACGCCTGCAAGTCGATATTACTTGAAGGTGCGCGGCTCTCTATCCGAGATAATTAAGTTTGCTCTGTAACACGCGTTAAGCGGAGAATTACAGATCACGTTGCTTAATCCTGAGATTGTTACTGGCGCTCTTGAAGAGAAAGATGGAAAGATGTACCAAAGATAATTGAAGGATTTGATATGACGAAAGAAATAAGATTGAGGACAAAAATATGTGTCAAAATATATCAAGTATATCAATAATCTGCAAAGATTACTTTTTGAACAGCAAATTGTATTTTTAGGATGATGAATCTTAGAAATTATGTACTTCTCATTCTTTTATGTAAATGAAAAATAATGTCTGGCTGATATAAGTGAAAAAGAGAAATAACAGAAGAATAATTGACATAAATATTATTAAAGATTAAGAAACTATATTATATATCTAACAGAAATTTGCTTTAAAAAAGCTAATTAAATGTGGATGATAATAAATTGATTCAGTGTACAAATTTTTAAAATTTTATATAATTATCGCTTTGTATGAGATCGAAATGTTGACGTGACAAAATTGAATAAACAAAAAGCGATATTTAGTTGAACAAATGACAATCGGTGATGTGGGAGAAAAAAGTAACGGTAAAAAAATTATTATCATAAAAAAGAATATTATAAATATTATCCAAGATTTAAAAAAATATAATTTTAACAGACATTATTTGCTTTGTAATTTTAAATATTACATAATTTGTGTCAGTTTTCAGAATAGACTAGATTTCGTTTTGGATTTCATATAATTTGATATTGTACATTTTGATATATATGTTTGTATTTTACATACGCGTGTATTTTGTTGCTTTTCAAATATTTTTCTTCAATTATACAGCACATAAAATTAAATGGAATATCTGCTTTGAATCCCGACAGAGATTGTAGATTATAAATCTATCATGTAATACAAATCATCTGAAGTGGATTTTAAGGAGAGACACAGGCAGTAATTTCCCAGGTAAACTGATTCGTCGTTCAAAAATTAAAATCTCCCTTTTTTAAGTCCTAAATATAATTACCGTTTCGAGATCGAGATGTTACTGGCGGACGTGAGAATATCGGGCAAACAAGAAGCGGCTTCTGGCCGGATGAATGGTGGTCGCCGGTGAATATATACGAGAGAGCAAGAAAGACAACGCGGGGCGCGGCGCGCGAGGAAGGGATACACGGGCGGCGAGGACTGTGTAGGGATATATCCTCATGTATAATTCACACCTCGAGCGCCATGCTTCCACCGCCATTGGTCGAGGCTCACTCTCTGTCGCTGGTTTTACGAGAAAATCTAAGGATCAAGCGCGCATACATACACACGGAGACCGCGGGCGCGTACACGGGGGGAAGGGGGGCCAGGAAGAGAGTGAATTGACGTTTCTTGCGGTTCCGCAATCCGCATACAAAAGCTGATTTTGCGCCCTTCTTCCGGCCGCGCCTCCCCTCCCGTCGCCGTCGTTGAGCGATCGCGAACAACGTGATAAGAATCCAGCGGGTATTCGCGGTGAATATACTCGCCCGGCGAAATCTGCGTCTCGCAAACGCGGCGAATTGTTGCACCCGGATTCTTAAATCTACGATCAAATATTTATATATGTCGATACGCTTCTGATCTTTGAATATTTCTTCTTCAAAGAATGCTCGCACATTAACACACATTGCGGCACATTCATAATATTTTCTTTTTCTTTCCTTTGTCTCTTTTTCTACTCCACAACAATCAAATTCGAAGGATTTTATCCTTCTATCAAATACGGGAAGCGTCGCAAAGTGGGGGGGGGGGGGGGATTACGGTCTTCCGATTCCGGAACAAATAATCTCGTCAAAAGTGTACCGAGCGAAACGGCAATTTCGATTACCCGATTCCAATGAAATGATACTTCGGCGCCGCGACGCGATTCAGCTTCGTAAGTACATATCGAACGTGATCCCGTCGTTAAAAGCAATTGAACTCCGACTGAACGCACCCGCAATATCTCTAACATTACTTTTTATCGCGCGCGCGCGCGCGCGAGCGAGGGGGAAACTTTTCCCAACTTTATTAGAGGGTGTTTCCGGGCTCGAGAGAGTTCCTGCGATTTGAGAACTGCGATTCTGCGCACTCGTTGGCCGGCTATCTAATATCACGGTTCGCCACACGAACACCCATAAAAGCGATTATTGTCCAATGATAGTTCTTTCTCTCTACCTTTCGCTCTACCTCCGTCTTCCTCTGTCTCTCTCTCTCTTTCTCTCTCTTTCTTTCTTTTTTTCTTTCTCTCCCCCCTCTCTATCCCTCTCTCTCTCCGTTCTCCTCGATGTCTCTTAATAGCGGCGAAGTGTTGGTAGCAGATGCCGAATTTCACGTCTCCCTTAATGTACCGAGCGCGAGAGCGATAATACTGCTATCGGAACTTCCGTCTCGGTATTGCAATCTAAGTTATCGAGCTATCGACGTGTCGGATGCGTGTCGAAGTGGCATTGTTATCGCCACCGTTTGCCCATTATCGCGTCGTTACGTGTATAGCTGCGCCCTTTGCAATACACTCGGATTATTTATAAAGCATTTCGAAGCTCCGAAGACCACAAGAATATCTTTAACAATTTTTAGTTGACGCTTAACGGCGCTATAAAATTTTCCTCCGTTTCTGCCAATTAGGTTTTTTGTTATCAAAATAGTCTCTTCTTAAACATGACGTTCCTGTAGTTTCTA